TTCATCACAATAATGTCCGTCATTAAATGTTGAAAATCGAGTTAACAATGTATGAATGACTCCATAGTTGTAGATAAAAAAATTAAATATCCCGGAATTATGATTGACGCTCATTTAAAATGGAATTTTCATATTAAGTACATTGTCAATAAATTGAGGACAATTTTATTCAGATTTAGAGACCTTAGTGATAACTTACCACTCAAGTATGTCAAAACTATACTTGTGGAAAGTCACATCCGCTATGGAATGATTATGTGGGGAGGAGCTTTAAACACTCATACGGATGCCATCGAAGTTATGCAAGACGTTTTCTAAAACTGATATTATCCAAAAATGAAAGATATTCTTCTGATGAACTATACACTGGAATACAGATGTTGGGCATAAGACAATTGTATTTTTTGTGCTTCACCAGTAGATATCATGCAAACAAACATGAAGCATCGCTTCCTTCTCATCAGTAAAGGGATCATTATTCCACACCACTAATGGCTAGTGTCGTTGCTCAACGCTCCTATACTTACTTTGCTCCAAAGCTATTATAAGAGCATTCCTGAAATCATCAACTCACTAGTGAATATTTACAGCATCAAAAAACAATTGAAGAAACACATACTTCAAAATGGGTAAAATAAGTCTCTACGTACTATCGTCATGTATTTATTTATTAACGGGCAAGCCGATTTTACAATTTACAAAAAGAAAGTATAAAAATACAGAGCACGTACATATTATCATATCTATGAAGAAGAATAACACAAAAAAAATGTAGAAGGCTAAAACGAATAGAAAAATGAAGATTATGAAAAAAGTGATTAACAGTTTTTTATTGCTCTCCTGAGTGACAATAAAGATGAATTGAAAAGTTCAATTTGGTAATTGTTTGTGTTTGCTGTTTTCATAATTCTATTCATTGATTCATTTTTGCCATAATTTGTCCTACAGAATGGTATCTTGAAAATGTCAATATTTCTGTTTCTTCTTGTATTTGCGGAAAGCGTAATCAGAGCAACAATTTCAGGAGAATCAATGTAACCATTGATAATTTTATGGGGGAATAATAGATCAATTTCCATTCTTCTATGTATCAACGTATTCATGTTTAAAATATCTAATATTTGTGGATAGGTATATTCATCCCTATTGAATCCCATGTTATGTGATATGCACAACTTCTTAAAAATTTATTTTGACAACCCTCTAAAAGATCAGAATCAATTTTGTAAAATGGTGACCAGATCAAAAAATTATTTTCAAGAATAGACCTCACCTGTGCACAATAAATAATTTTAACAGCATTAACAGATAGTTCTTTAGCAGAACGGAGGGAGAAGCCTAGCATTTTACGAGCACGAGATGATGTTTCTATTATGTGATGTTTGAAGGTCATTTTCGAGTCGAATATTACTCCTAAGTCTTTGATTGTATTGGTTACTGATAGATTAGTATCATTAACTCTGTAAATATGATCAATAGCATCATGGCTTCGTGAAAATGTTATCTTCTGACATTTATTCAAGTTTATTTATTGACATTATTGATCCAGTATTGATCCATAATTTTTAAAATTTGAAATCTGAAATTTAAAATTTAAAATTTGAAAAGGTGTGAATTTTTTTTATATTTTTTATCTTGAATTGATTAAGAATATATTCACTATTTATGTTTATCCATGTATAGTTTCTTTATGTATGTTTTTTTCTACTTTTAATGTATCCATGTATTTGTTCAAGGAAACAAGTACATTTTGTACTTTGTTTTTTTTATTTGTACATTTATACATGTTTGGAAATTGATATTGCTGTTGAAAAAAAGTTCCTTATTATTATTATTATACAGGGTTACTGGTAAGTCGATACATTGCTTTGAAGATGAGATAGGGAAAGTGGTAAGGAGTGAATTCAACCCTAATATGCATTGTGTAAAAGTTAATAGTTTCTGATATTTTCAATTTTCATGCTTTTCTCCAAACGGTAGACTAACAGGGTTAAAAGTTAGTTTCCCGAAAATCTTATGTTTGGAATGAAAAAATTCTAGAAATAATTTAGATCATAGGATAAATTATAATTACGAAGTCGTATTTTTTTTGTGAATTGTGGATTTTAACATTTTCTAGCGGTTATTTTGAGAAAAATCTCTTAGCCACATTTGTCAAAAACTTGACAAAACATCCTTAATGTAATAGCTATCTAACTGGGTACAAATGAAACTGCTTGATACCGGTTTGTTATTTTAAACGAATAGTAAAAAACATATATACTTGAATAATGCCTATCAGTATTTTTTTACGCGATACAGCAACAATTTGTTTTATATTTTCGTTTATTTGCTCCAGGCATCCAAATAGCATAACAAATGTTCATAACTTCCATTATTGGTCCGCAGGAAACCCCATTTTAACAAAGGAAACTAGTTTGTAAATGTTTTGATGGGACTCATTGGCCGTTATTTGATAGGACCACATTTTTTCCTAGAGAATTTATACGGGAGAATGTATGAACATTTCCAACTACTTCTTGAGGATGTTCCTCTTCCCATCCTTGTGTATTTCCAAAAAGTTTTTTTTGTTCGAAATTCCGAAAAAGGGGGCCTGTCTGGTTAATTCTTGCCCGACAAATTTTTGTGAGATATACACATTATCAAGTACCAATAGAGAAACACATTTATAGGAATAACCTCCCATCCACGTTTATTTTGAAAAAGTTATGATTTTTTTCGAGACCGACTGAGGGGGGATATAAATTAGTAATTAATTAATAATTGGTTTTATGGCGCGCCTAGAATATTTGGCGAAGTCGTGGCTGGGACTCGTGACTGGTTTCACTCTGATATTCTTGTTTACTTATATTCCTGTATTTCCTAGTTTGTAATTGGAATTATTCTGTGAACTAAGTAAATGAATAAATAGATGAATAAATAAATATAGATACTTCCACGGGACATATTCTTCAAAAATCTCTGCTTACTTACTATCACTAGCAATACAAGTCAGCAAAATTCGTTTGTCTATAAAACCGCAAAGCTTTGGAATTATTTGCCAATAGAAGTATTCTCAAGAAACTATAATTCCTTAAAGTTAACAAAAATTCCAATACCTACCGCCTCTCCCTATGCCCCCAAGGCATGCACGATGTTATTCGAATATTATAGGGATTCATTCTGCCAGAAATACATTTAAAATTCCAAACTTAGCTTTCAACGAAGTCAATACAGTCCGTAGTTATGGGACTGGACAATTGATTTACTTGATAGCAAATACATTCAAGTCAAACATTGGCAAACAATCTATATTTCACAATATTCATTTCCGAATGAGTTGAAAAATATACAGGTTGTTTCAAAAAAACCTAACCCCCTTGCTAGGGTAGGTAGAACATTGCAACATGAGTTGGGTTTGCTCAGTAAAAAAATGACGTAATGCCGTCCGTTTTCAAGATACAAGGTGTTGAAACAATATTTTTTTTGCACATTTTTTACGATTAGGGTGAAACTACTGGCAACATTGTGATGAAATTTTGTATGGATGTTTCTTGGAATCTGACACATCTCATGCATTTGTTTCTATATCTGACTCTCATAGAGGGCGCTAGTTACACGGTTCGTACCGAGTAGTTTTGAACATAACTTTTTTGAGGTTAGATTTCTCAATCCAAATTTGATGTGAACTTGAACATCATTCAATTTCACACCAAAAAGGTACTCTTGGTAAACCTCGATACTGTGTTCCGTTTTCGGAATATTTCGATTTGAAAATGATGAAGTGGTAACTGTTGCTGGTATAAAGCTATGTATTAGAGTGAGTATTATGAAAAATTATCACCTATTCATTGAAAACCGAAAAGAACAATACATTTCTGATGGAAAACTCATTGATTTAACAATGAATCACAAGTATAACATTGAAACAGATTTGACTAAGAACATGGATTACACAGTTTTATTGTTTGAGCAGAAAGTCTATGCTACATAGGCAAATTCACGTCAAGAGTTGTGAGACATAATTGAACTACACTTAAATGACGTAACAGCTGATCCTCAACTGTTCAGAAGAATAATACATTCTTAAAAAAAGAATATAGAATCGTGTATTCCTCGAAAAGTAGAACATTTTGAACACTTACTCTAACTGATTCAATATTTCATTTTTCTAGTCGAATATCTCTTAATTTTCTACTTATGATTCTTTGTTCCATCAATAACTTCAGCACAAGAATAATTTCATTGTTTTTGAACCTGAATAAATAGGTAATTGAACTCAATAATTTTTTTTTTATACCGGCATCATTACAACTCCATTATTTTCAAATCGAAATATTCCGAAAACGGATCATAGTTTGAGTTTCACCAGGAGTACCTTTTTGGTGTAAAATTGAATGATGTTCAAGTTCATATCATATTTGGATTGAAAAATCTAACCTCAAAAAAGTAGTGTTCAAAACTACTCGGTACGAACCGTGTAACTAGCGCCCTCTATGAGAGTCAGATATAGAAACAAATTCATGCGATGTGTCAGATTTCAAGAATCATCCATACAAAATTTCATTACAATGTTACCAGTAGTTTCGGAATAATCGTGAAAAATGTGTAAAAAAATAATTTTTTCAACACCTTGTATCATGAAAACGGATGTCGTTACGACATTTTTTCGCTGAGGAAACCCAGCTTATTTTGCAATGTTCTACCTACCCTAGCAAGGGGGTTAGGTTTTTTTGAAACACCCTGTATATGATGCAAGAAGATTTGAAATCAATTTTAAACAATATCTGGTTAGGACAATTCGATTGAAAAATATGTTCGTGTATCCCTATTATAAACAGATATGATATGTTTCTTGGGGTAATAAACATATTCAATGAAATAGAGGTCACTGGCTGAAAATATCGTCAATAAGGGTAATTCTTGCACATTTGTTTTCAGTGAACAGACAATATTTTACTTCGCCAGCTAGGTTTCCATTCAGAACGTGCTTCTATCGCATTATTCGTTCGATGTTCCAGATTCATCGGCTGTGGAAGAAATGACAGATTCAATTATGTGGTAATGCAATTGCAAGGGCGCAACCTGGCCGAGCTAAGACGAGCGCAACCGCGAGCCGCCTTCAGTTTGTCGACCACCTTGCGTCTCGGCTTGCAGATACTCAGGTCCATCGAAAGCATACACTCTGTCGGGTTTCTTCATCGTGATATCAAACCTGTGAGTATACGGTAAAGTTGGCTGTGATATGATGATATTTCTCATTTGTTTATACCTGCAATAGATATATAATAATAATAATAATATATCGTCTTTATTATTTCCATACATAAAATAAACATCAATCTCAGGTAGCTGTGCGGACAGAGTGTCAACATTCTGTCCGCATTCGCTTGCCGGTCGTGGGTTCGATTTCCATCGACTGCAGATATTTTTCTGATGGCCCAAGAAAGTGTTTGGGATCACACGTTAAAGGGTAAGGCCCCCGTCATTCCTTGGTCGCACAAGACTCTCGAAGACTTCTGAGAGTTGCTCGTAAGGGGGCAACCAAATGACGGATAGAACAATGACGGTACTCCAGAGGTGAGATTTATATAACCTGAACAGCGATTATCTATACAAACTTTTTGTTGCCTACCTTTCAAGTACTCACTTAGCAATACTAGAGCATCAGAGGAAAAACCAAGATATTTCAAGATAACTATTATTTATTTGTAATTCCATAGCCCTCTCAAGGATTTTCGAGAGGCTGGGTAGAATACTGATGCCCCTTGAATCGTTCATTTCTGTTGGATTTCGTTTCTTTGGTAATACCTGAACAACCGCTCTCCTCCACATCTCCCGATAAACATTTTTCGTATTGTACAATGTGAGGACAACAAAGTTTGATGAGTTTCACATTCATACCATCACAACCCTTTGCATTCGTTTTAATTCCAGAAATAGTTTTGTATACCAATAAATCATTCACTACGTCAAAATTGAAATTTTCTTCATTAACAGAATTGGTATCATAAAAGTTTAGAAGATTCTCCGTTGGTTCTTAATATAGAATTGACTTTATGAAAAATCTATTCAATTCATCAGGATTCTTTAGTTCTTCAGTTATGAGATTGGTTTTATCTGGAATGAACTTATTTGATCTTGATGTCCTCCAAGTTTCTTTCGATGAAGTATTATTAAATTGGTATATGAAATATGCTCTTTTTTCTCTTATAATGGCATGATTGGTATGATTTCGCATTTGTCTATGAAAGTCTAAATGTCTCTGTAACTTAGTTCTCTTAAATCTCCTCAAAGCTTCATCTCGTTCATTCATGGTGCTTTTGCTTTAGTATTGGGCTATATTGCGTCAAAACCAACAAGAATTCTAGTGACTTGGTTATTTTATACATGGTACCGCCGGTTCAATAGGGACAGTGTTGCTATTTTCTAAACTGTAAGAGATAGAAAGTTGATCAAATTAGACAAAAGTTGCGTAATTTAATCCCGTTCAATGTGACGTTTCATAATTTGAAAAAACTTCATCCGTTCCTGGGATATTTACAAAAAATTGAAAATCACTGATTTCGTTTTTATTTATTCTCTTGGTTAATATTCCAGGAAACAATTTGGAATTTTGCATAAGTAAGTAATCAATCATGAGAAAAAAGTTGGGATTATCAAAAATATTCTCCATTAGTTTCAGAGATAAACCATACAACTTTCGTTTTTCCTATGGGCGCCATATTGGTTTTTTATACCATTAAATAGGGCTAAAAATTTCCTTCACAGCCATGTATAACATATTGACAGTACAACATGAAACAGTGCCAAAAAACAGGAAAAACCATTTTTGCTCATTGCGAATGTGGTAGGCCATGATAATATGAAAACAAAATATCAGTCCTCATGACTACAGTACTAATACTCCTTCATAGCCATGTATTGTATACATTGTATTCGCGGTCGCCAAGGTCATTAGATGACGCTGCGATGACATTAAAAACTACGGGAAACATCCTAACCCCTGGCATAGATTGAAAGTTAGACATGAAGAAAGAAATGTCATGTATTTTTCGGGGTAGAATTATGATAGCACAACAGATCATCAACATAATACATAAACCACAGTCATTGACACTCCACTCAGCTAGAGGTCCGCTAAATGCAAAAATTCAGTTAACCATGACTTTCGGCATGCCGTATGAATGCATTTTTAGACCAATCAGGAAGTATAAAGGCACGCCTGCGTGATCCGTTTTCGCCGCAGTTGAAGTTGGAATATTCATAACTTTGCAAGCGTTTGGAGGGGTTTTGCTCAAGTTTCCATTCTGAATAATTTAAAATTTGTTATGGTAGGTTTTCAATACTGGGGAGGTTCGAGTCTCTCAGGCTGATGACCTGAATAATGTTGTATCAAACTGATTAATACGGTGCCACAGTATATTGCTCCCAGATCCAATTCAGTTTACTGCGCAACCATAATTTTATGCTACGCGCATCAGGTTGCCTATATGATTTCAACACATGGACACAAAATATCCAACAATCAGACATAAAACCCTATACGTCGATGCCTTGGATATTAATTATAAAATGATGAAATGAAAATAAAAATACCTAACCTATCATCACGTAGGCACTTCGAAGATGCAAATCAATCACTACATGGAAGATATCCTTCAGATTATCAGCCATTCAGTGACCGTGGCCACGGATGAAATTTTTGGTCTTCTGCACACCAAAAATGATGATGCGACGAGTTGGTTGTTGCCAGATTCGATATGGATACAAAATCTTAGTGGAGACATAGCTGGTTATTAGAGGATTGAATTGTGACTGTGCTGGAATTGATTTCAATAAAATTTTAATAGTTTAATCAGCCTCCTATGAACTGGCTCAAACTACTCTATGTATCTTCCTCTCGTAGAATATTAGAAGAAGCTTCCTCGAAGTGCCCACCTGATGTTAGGTTAGATATTTGCTATTTTCATTTCATCTTTCATCATCTAAATAACCTGAGACTATTCAAGGTACCGACGTACCGATAGAGTTTCATGTCTGATTGTTAGATATTTTGTGTCCAGTTGTTAAAATCATCATGAAATAGGACACCTGGTGCGCGTGGCATGCAATTATGGTTGCGCAGTGAACAAAAAGGGGTAAGGAACCAAGGACTACATCAATAAGTGCGACTACTGGATCCGTTAAGAACTTTACTGTGATTGTAGTTGGATTCGAAATGTCTATTATGTGATTCTGTGATATGATGTCAAATGTCAAATCGTTATTTTGTGTATGTTCATTTCGAATTTTGAAGTTCTCGAAATTCGAAATATTCGAATATTATCTACTGAAGTAGTTCCTCCTGATAAACAATAAAGAAGTGTTCAGTGTTGGAGTGTGAAAATAAGTGGAAGGCTTGTTTTTACTCCACTCTGGACAACTCTACTGTCGGTGTCTAGTATTTTTGTTGAGCTTTCGAGCTTGTGTGATGAAATGCTTGTGTGATGAAATGCTTGTGTGATGAAATGCTTGTGTGGTGAGTTGACTTTGAAATGTTTGCTAGGTCTGATTATTCCAATGTCGGCTATTTGAGGTTCTCTTCACACCATCAAAAATGAATGTGTCAGATCACAGATGAATTAAACGTGTGAAGTCCATATTGCTCAAAGTGGAGTGGTAGTGTTTAAAGGAAGAATAAATCTCGAAATCATCTCCACGACATTTAATGGGTGAACAAAATTATGTTGCGAAAAGGGGGGACATGTTTCGGGCTTATAATAAGCCCATCATCAGCCAAGGTTTATAACATCCTACAAAAGTGACAAGAATATGGTAATAGTTGTTATTACTTACATGAGGATGAAAAATGTTCTTCAAAGTTGTTGAATAATGTTAAATTTGAATGGTAAACATATTATAGTATACAGTATATAAACAGGTATTTTTATTTTGAGAGGGGCCTGTACCCTCTGAGCTACCCTCAGGATGTTTTCATTAGGTGAAAATTCAAAGATTTCAAAAAATTTCCAAAAACACACATGAGTGAGACTTAAGTGAACTATAGGTTAGCTGTCACTGAAAAATCGGAAAATCATGAGATCAAACGTCAAACTTCCGGATGACAAGATGTCAACAAGACAGATGACAAGTGAAATGGTACAATTGAACTATTTTTCAAATAGCCATGGGATGAGATCAAAAATGGTTGAGTGGACAAAGTACATGTGAGAAAATTTTGAGTTGAATTAAAAATAAATTATTAACAATGGAGGAGCAACAACAATTAACCGAAATGGAATTATTATCCTTCAATGAGGAGTTGATCTCGAAGATCTCTATTAAATTGTCATGTTATAAACCTTGGCTGATGATGGGCTTATTATAAGCCCGAAACATGTCCCCCCTTTTCTCAACATAATTTTGTTCACCCATTATATGTCGTGGAGATGATTTCGAGATTTATTCTTCCTTTAGAGATAAATTATGTTGGATAATTTGCTAGCAGTTGGTTTATAGTATAGTTGTTAATTTTGGTATCCCTTTTTATTCTTGTTTCGGTGATTTTCAAGTAATCTATACCGTTATACTTTCCATGCCAAATGATGACTATTTTCTTGGAACCAATCTTTCAGAATATCAGCGATAAAATCCAATTCAAAACTTGTCCAACATGATTCATCAGATCTGACACATAAAATGTTTGCAGCCATGAGCGAGTAGCTCTCGATGAGTAGAATTTTGGGCGGAAAAGGGGGTTTTCCCCAAATCTTATTTTAACCCCTATATTTTTTTCCAATGGTGCCAGTCGATAGTGTACCTTGAGCCTTCTTAGGGTTCAAATTCAATGTATTTATTTTAATGCCACCCTCTGTATATGTCATTCTCAATCCGATTTATTTGTCAATATCAATGTAACTATTAATTAGAAACGTATTATTATCATCGTATTATTTTGTGTTATAACTTTGTGTGCTGCTTTGTTGACTTGTCCTATGACTTTTGTAAGTTCCGAAGGATTAATTGATTGATAGTTTTCTGATAAATTTTCTACTCCCGTATTACAATACGCGAATTAAATATCTGCTACAAATTTCTCAATAGTGTTCATTTCAACACGGTTTCATTAGATACACGTTCTATTCATTATGATACGAATTTTTGGCCTATAGAAACACGTATTTGGTAATAAACAAGCGGGTCTACGTTTTTACCTCACTTGCTTGAGTTGTTTGACATTTATATATATATATATATGTAAAAATGGCATGAACTCGTCTGTAGGTAGGACAAAGGTGACCACGTAAGTGGATTTTTTATAGACTATTCGAGAGCTTTCGATGTAGTTGACCATAGAATCCTACTGATAACACTTGAAAGATATGGGATAAGAGGCATTCCTCTGGAATTTTTCGAAACCTTTCTCGTCAATAGAAATCAGGTTGCTTTACTCAATGATATTCGTAATCCCTCTTGTAGCATCACACAGGGTGCTCCTCAGGGATCAGTTCTGGGCCCTCTACTTTTCAACTAATCTCCGAGTGACCTCATATATTTTGTAGAAAATATTCCATATGTCAAGATTTTTTGTTACGCAGATGATACTAACATCATTATCTCTGGTGACAATCAAGAATCTCTCATAAATTCTACAGACAGAGTATACTGTAATGTAAATAGCTGGTTGAGAAATAACAACTTGCTATAAAAACACATAAAAAAACAGTCGGTATATTTCGGACGTAGAAGACAAGATCCACCTATCATTTCCGCAGATGATTTAATTCAAGAAAAACTTGATAAAGGTAATTATGTGGCAGCTGTTTTCATAGACCTCAAGAAGCATTTGATACAGTTGACCATACAATACTTTTGAATAACCTAGAATCGATTGGTATTAAAGGCATTGTGAATGATCTTTTGAGGTCCTATTTTGTGAAAAGAACTATAAGTACCAAAACTAATAACGTGGAAACTGATGACTAAATATAAGCAAAGGAGTTCCCCAAGGGTCGGTTTTAGGTCCAATTTTATACTTATTATATATACGAAATTTATCCCAAATCAACTTATCATGTCATTACACCATATTCGCAGACGATACAGTGCTATTATATGCAAATGAAAATCCTTCAATTCCAGAAGAAACTATAAACGAGGATTTACAGAAATTTGAAAAATGGCTTTATTCTAATCTTCTTTCCATTAACGCTAAAAAACTCAATATATGATTTTCAAACAAAGAAATAAACGAATTATTGAATTGAATATAAAAATAAAAAATGAACAATTGAAACAAACTTCTCAGATGAAATATCTTGGCATTTGGATTGATGATAAATTGAGGTGGGAAAAACATATTGATAATCTAACGAAACAAATTTCTTCTATTATTGGGGCCCTGAGAAGATGTCCCAAATTGAATCCCAAAATAGCTAATATATTTTTATATTCACATATTCTCAGTAGAATCAAATATTTAATTAATATATGGGGATCATGTTCTGAAAATAATTTCAATAAAATCTCTGCTGTTTATGAAAAAGCTTTGAAAGTACTGTATCGTCTACCATTTGACACTCCAACAAATCAACTTTATTCCATGACTAACACATTTTCTTTGGAGGAACATTATGCAATGGACACTCTCAAATTATCATAATTATCTCATTATCAATGAAATGATGAAATCTTATTTTATATTTACTAGAAATTCAGAAATTCACAATTATAATACAAGACAACATAACTTGTTCCATCTTGATTCTGCAAACTGTGTAATTGGTCAAAAGAGATTTACGCACGGAGCACTTTCAAAATTCAATGAACTACCACAAGACATGAAAAATTCTAGGAATATTACTGAATTCAAAATAAAAAAAAATATTTTCTTCAAAAAAGAAATTGAATTCAAGTGGTTTACTTCTTTGTTCCTCTTTCTTTTTATTTTTTTTTAGTAATGTTCAATTGAATTTATATATTTTTTGTAATTCTAAAAGTTACATTCAATGAAATTATATTGTATAATTATAAAAGCAACATCATGAACAGTCTTATACCAGTATGAATACTGTTTGTCTGTTCATGCAATTCCATGATAGAAACTATAAAAGATTTATATTAACCCTCTCATAATCTTCAATGAATAATTGTTACTTCAAAATATAATATGCCTACATTTATTGATAACAATATTTACTCAGAAATGGGTAACAATTTAGGAATTGTAGCAATGTATTACAAATGAGTCTTATTATTATTATCATTTTCATTATCTCTGATATATCGAAGACTGGAACCTTTGGCACGATAATACACTACACACTGTTTCACCACTAACCAAACCAATATTTTATACCTCGACACGTGTTTCGCTAACTATGTTAGCATCTTCAGGAGAAGATTAAAAACCACTGATAAAGTGCCTCTCGGATGGAAGAAATTGATAAGATTATTTTTCTTTTTCAGAGTAATTTTTCAATGGGTAGACTGCCATATAATTGTAGGAAAGTATATATGTTAGATTTCGGGCTTGCTAGGCAATATACTACTGCGACTGGAGAAGTGAGAGCTCCCAGAGCAGCTGCTGGCTTCCGTGGCACTGTTCGATATGCCAGTATCAATGCACATAAAAATAGAGGTGAGTGTACTGATTTATCTCAAATTTTATGCAAAACTAAAATTCAGTATTTTTTTCACGAACTCACTATGTTGATTAGAAAGAATTCATTTGGTGTTCCAGATACCTACAATATCCATACACAAGTTAGATAAGCAAATTTTTGAAAAAATACTTACTACTACTTCAAAATTAAACACTTGAAGTGAAAAGAAGTCGCACAAAATAAAATTGTTGAAAAAGTCACGAACATATTATATTTTCACCAACACTCCTTTAATACTAAATGCATAATTAATATTTAGAGGCGCGGCATTTTTACCAGCTTAGAGTGCTCAAATGTGTTGATCCGGCCTTGCTTCAAACCAAAATCAAAAATTTGCAATTCGAAATTAGTGAAATGATTGATGGAATTTACATCACAAATGACCGTTTTTCCTCACCGCATTTTCCCATCGTAGAAATCTACTCTACGAATAATCATTGGTTCTTCCAACCTCGCTAGAGTCTCCTAATTTACATGAATGCACGACGGTTATTCCAAAATCGCAACATGTATTTCATCTAAGTCCTTACTGGCCATAGTTGCTGTGTTATTAGTTGACCGTTACCACTCCTTAACCAAAGTCGGCTTCCACAGTATTTTTGCAAAATTTTTACGCATGCCTGAAGGGAATCATACTTGAAATGATGATCTAAATCAAAATAACTCATGGTGTAGGCACTTTAATCATGTTCTGTTGAACAATTACTGGACACACCTACTTTGATGAACATTCATCGCTTGGGTGAATGGGCTTATATCACAAAAAAAAATATTTCATAATTCGATAGAACTCACCTAAACTAGCTCACCACCGCAAACCGTTTCTTGTTGTGAGCTCCCTACGTTTTATAAAAAATTATTGAAATCCCCGATATTTCGGACCTCTGAAAACGAGGCGATGATGTGACGTCAAAACCCTAATACTGAAACAAGATTATTCCAGACAGAGATGAATGATACATGATTTCTAACAGAGTGAATTAGCGCGAGATCACAGTTCAAAGAATTAATATATCAGTTGCCTCTGTCTCCGTCGGGTGTTTGGTATTTTCTTTCAACTATGGTGAGATGAGGTTTCTACGTCATAAGAGGGTCCGTTTTCAGAAGGTACTATTATTTATGTCCAAAAATAAAACATTCCAGTTAATTTTTCGATCGAATTATGTCGTCAATCATTATTTATGTATAAAAGGATCATTATAAACATGGAGTTGAGAGTTCTACTAAGGTGTACACGCCCATTTTGCCGAGTTTAGTCTGGTGTTCTACCAACATTACAGGCAACAATATAGAGCGATAAATATTTGGTTCCAAAGAATTGTGTTGATCAGAACGCCAGTGAATGTAGTGGGCTGTCTCCCTACTTTTTTAGCAAAAAATACTCATATACTTGATATACCTGACCTGTTGTAACTAGAGTCACTGGATGGTATTAGTTAGATTATTCGGACACAGAAATGACAACTGTTAGTGTTTTTGAATTTTTATATTTATTAAGTTACACACCTCGCATTGTGACGAGAGCACCATAGTCGTCTCGTGCTTTTTCATTCAAAATTGTTTGGATTTGACAATACTTTTTATGAACGTCAGAATTGAAATACAATTTCATAAACTTTTGAGAAAAAGGCATGAATAAAAATGTTCTGCTGTGTAATGAATGGTGGGAATTCTGAAGGAAAGATCAACCGTTCTCTTATAGAAGGGATGTATGAAACGGCCTGAATGGAAAATCGAGCAGAATTTGTGATAAAATGAGTTGTTTTTGTTAAAAATGAATTAATATTTTCTACTTAGTTTTTGTATGGGTACAGATGGTTTTAGCATGCCTATCTGTGTGCACTACCAGGAACGCCCCATTTGAAGATCAAACCGAGGCAGTCCAGTTTTAGCATGCTGGACCGTTCGCAAATCCTGGCCAGATGCCCCATATAAAAACACATTTTTATATTCAATACTTAAAATAATGAAAACTGTCTCACACGATAAAATAGAGATGGTTAATTCATCCATATCGATTTATAAGGGGTAATGCTTGGCTAAATAGTTTGCGAGAGGTAATATTCAAATAGGCACTAATAGTTTAGGGGTAACTGAAAGTATGAGACTATATTCAAAGATAACAATATGGAACATTATGGGTAGCGATAACAATTATGAATAACCAACAATGAATATGAAGCTGAAATAACAACTTACATTATAATGACCATACGACGAGCTCTTGTCAAGTCAAGAGTAGCTCCAGACCAGACTAACTTCGGAACCCTCACATCTAATATTTATATACATCATTTTATTAGATTTTCACGTTTCTCATGAGAGTTCCTTGGTTAGTTTTTATATTTCAATGTCAACGGATGATTTGATTTACTTTATGTGTATAAAACCCTCATGGTTCCAAATTACTAATATACTGTATGTTCTACTCGTGACAGGTACATACATTAGAATTCACTTCTTATAACAGTAGATTAAAGTGAAACTATATTTCAGGCTCATTTTCAAACAGACGATTTTAAGATCCGTTCGGAAGAATCTGCTGTTCCATCCATTTACAAAACAGACGATTTTGAAAAAAAAAACATTTTTATTATCATCACACGAAATGCAAAACAAAATTATCATGAAAAAAAACGGATTGACTGCAATACTATGTAATGGAATTGAAATTTTGAGAACAAAACTGAGGAAATCAAGTCTATTGCAACGTCGTGATATATCATTGAATGGCGTTTTCAATACCGACCCAATTCAAAATGTATCAGTGAAAAGTGAATGCAGGAATAGGTGGAAAATCAAAACAATAAATATAGCGCTTGCCATCAAATGCACTTGTGGTACCACAGGCTAGAAACATATGTCTATTTTGTCATATATGGTCATATTAAAATGTAGTTAAAATAAATAAATAGATGTTGTTCTGCGAAAAGTGTATATAAATCAATGTGGGTTTTTATACCCTATTTCAATTTTTTATCTACGGCTATGATTGATTTGACAGAAAATCTAACCTCTAAAATCTTATCTGACAATCAGGCGTTACTAGGGAAATAGGAAAGACAAAGAGCAGAATAAATGTCTTATTCTTTCATTCACTCAAACCATTGTAATATCGAAAATAGAAAACGACAGTAGTTCAGCTGTGTCCGAGGAAGGATCAGGAGCTGGTATTTATGGGGCCAAGCCAAAGACAAGAATCTCACTGAGCAAATACGCGACGGTGTTTCAGGCAGAAATTATTGCAATACATCATTGCGTGAAAGAATTGATAAGGCAAGAGTTTAAAGGCGAAACCATTGCAATCTATTCAGATAGCCAGGCGGCAATCAAAGCAGTCAACTCTATGCAAGTTAACTCAAAACTAGTATGTGACTGCTTAGAAACCCTAAATGCACTGGGCAGTCAGAACAGATTGACTCTAGCATGGGTACCAGCACATACAGGGTACGAGGGCAATGAAGAGGCAGACTCACTTGCCCGAGCAGGAGCAAACAAAGCTCTTAATGGCCCAGAACCCTTCTGTGGTATTGCGAAAGCTATACAAAAGACTAGTATCAAATCATGGATGCAAACCAAATCACAAGTATGGTGGAACAACTCGTCAGGAATGAGACAGGCAAAAGAGTTTATTGAAAAACCATCGCCAACATTCACAGAATATTTACTAAGCCAGAAACGAAGTTCAACTAGAATACTAGTGATACTTCTCACAGGGCATTGTAGGCTCAACAAACACATGAGTACGATTGGTCTGACTGAAGAACTGCTGTGCAGGTTCTGTCAAGAAGAGGAAGAAACATCAGTACACATACTTTGTCACTGTGAGGGCTTGTCAAGACTAAGGTTCCTTACGCTGGGTGAGAAAAAACGAGGAGCCCAGAGATACACAGGAAATCTGAAAGCTAGCCTATGGAGTCTCATAGAGAAGGCGGGGCTAGCCGAAGAACTCTAATCGATTTTGAGGACAGACACAATAGATCTGAAAAGGTCGCAGTGTGGAGGCAGATAGCCCGAAGGCTCATTCCAAATCTAATCTAATCTAATCTCAGCTGTGTCCGAACTCTTATCTAACTAATACCATCCAGTCTCTCCTGATTTTTGTGACATTACTCACAAATTCCTGTGGGTTCACTGATCATCATTATTTCTATTCGCTAATCATTGACATATATTTTTCAGAAATGGGAAGGCACGACGATCTTTGGAGTTTATTTTATATGTTAGTAGAATTTGTGAATGGCCAGTTGCCTTGGCGAAAAGTCAAGGATAAGGAGCAAGTGGGACTTATGAAAGAAAAGTACGATCACAGGTTACTTTTGAAACATTTACCGTCCGATCTTAAACAATTTCTCGATCACATACAGAGTTTGGAATATGCCGACAAACCAGATTATCAGGTTAGTAATAACAAAGGTGTTGAACCATTGTCGTTCTAAATGAAAACTTAGTAAAAAAAGCTAAAATCGCCCTTATTGACCACATTTTCAGTGAGCTAGGGACCTGTATTGCGAACTAATTTATTTATTTGTTATCCCAATCCTAAAGCAGGACGCAAACAGAAGAAACCAACTATTTTTTAAGCAATAAAAAAATTATTTATTTTCTATGTTAGGTATTTGAGTTAGAGGAACTGGAAACTTGTTAGTGCTGTTATTTATTTTGCCAACTCAAGATCATGCCCTTACCAACTTTGTATATTTATCAGTCTCTGCTCGAGATTCATGATAATAAAAATAAACTCCTGGCTTACTCAAAGTACCATGACCATAACACACGCAATGCAAATTTGATCAGGTCTGGAAGATTTAAATACAACAAGTCATTCAAAAACTCTATGATTGTTGACCTTTACAATATACTTCCTGCAACACTAAAGCATGAAAATCAATCGACATTCAAAAACTCTGTCAAAGTCATATTACAGGAAAAATGCTACAACAGTATTGCTGAGTATATGGCTGACCCACCCAGGATCTGATTTGTAAAACTGAAACACATATATTTATGCTCAAATACTCATGTTATATGTTCCAATAATTATTGTGTCTACTATATGTGTATGGTATGTTGTAATGTACACATATTATTTTATTTAACTAAGTACCATTGTTATATTATTCATTTCGTGAATATTGTACAGTAATTTTTCTATCTACTTGCTACCTGACTTGCTACAAATGTGTTATACATCACGTACTTAAATAAAGATCTATCTATCTATCTATAAAGTATTGCTGTTCATACTCCATTGAAATGATGGCAAACAAGCTAAGAATAAATATGTATGAACTGCTTATTTACTTCTCAGAGTTTCCTATTAGATCTGCCTTTGAAGATCCCCTTATACACTGCCACGTCTCTTCCAGATGCTGATATCGTTGTTCGAACGATGCATGAAGCGGCGAGGCGTGAAAGAGACGGACCCCTACGATTGGGAGAAGCCTGCCCAAACAGAGAACACGCCCGTCTCGCAAACGGTGACCATACAGCAACCGACCGCCCCCACGACCCTGCCCAGACACACCAAACACACAGTAACCACCGACAACAACCAGGAGAATATCGAGCCGACCGACAACAAAGAGGTCAGCACGCTGAATTGTAATGAGCCGTTTTTTTTTCTTTTTTTTTTCGTTCAGTTTGCATGCTTATAACACTTGATTTGTCAACATACGGAAATTTAGTGACTGATTTGAACTGGAGAACGACATAAACTTATTCCTATCCTGATAAAAAAAGACGAACATAATTTTTCATTTCCAATAATTTTGTTCACAATAAATTCCCAGAAAAATTTTTGCTTGAGATCATAAATAACATGGCGCCAAAAATCTTGTTATTCGAAAAAATCGGGCCGATTATGTTTGTGAATAGCAATACATGGTTGTAGAGAAGTTATTGCTATCACAGCAACATTCCAGTAACACTTTCTGAACTTGATAACACTATGTCACGTGTCTTGTCTACTTGCGATACTCTTCTCATGGCAGCCGATCTCAATATCAATTTGCTGGTCAACAGTCAGTCCAGTAAGTTATTTTTACAGTTTTTAGATACATATAACTTGAAACAGCTTATCAATGAGCCTACACGCGTGACTGACAACTCTCAAACCTTGATTGACATTATGGCCTCATCAAACCCTGATGAAATCTCAAGTTGTTCAGTTATTGACTTACCCGGTATCTCAGATCATTTTTCCACATCCTGTGAAATATTAAAAATCAAATCTATACATGAACAGCCGTTTTTTTTTGTTTTTTTTTTTCGTTCAGTTTGCATGTTTATAACACGTGACTTACGTCAACATACGGAGATTTATTGAGACTGGAGAAAAATATAAACTCATTCCAGGCAAATTTTTGCTTGAGATCATTAATAACATGGCGCCAAAAATCTTGTTATATCGGGCCGATTATGTTTGTGAATAGCAATACATGGTTGTAGAGAAGTTATTGTTATCACAGCAACATTTCAAGGAGTGAAATTCTGATCATCGATTTTTGGCAATATGATTTGTCAATTTCAATGACATCTTGTTAGAGGAATCTTGAGACTACAACTTGAATTGTAATGGGCTGTTTTTTTTTTTTTTCGTTTTGATTGCATGCTTATAACACGTGATTTACGTCAACATACAGAAATTTATTGAGTGATTTGGACTGGAAAACAACATGAACTTATTCTGATCATCGATTTTTGGCAATATGATTTGTCAATTTTGATGTCATCTTGTAAGTTTTCTTGCTATCTCGAAGACATCAATTTTGTGCTTGCTATCACCTTAAATTTGTAGAGAAGTTATGAGACAACAACTTTGGCATTTCAGTCCAGAGACGCCAGCAATCCTCTTGAGTTACCTGATGACAGGTTTACCAAACTACTTCTCTTGAATAAGTCAGCAACGTGAGTTTTTTCTCAATACAAGAATTGGGTTCTTTCCCAAAACAATCACGATTAATTCCATGGCTTTAGGTTGTTTCCTTATTCCGGCAAATGATTCATTTGCACCACTTGCAAAACCCCGACCAAATTCACCTAATACAAACAATCTGTGAATTTAAACGATATAATCTCGAAAATGTCAGTGCAAGACAAACGGATATGGGAGGTGAGAAAAAAACGAGTTAAAAACAGTGTTGTCAGCTCGAAAATTCATGATTTTCTAACAATATTGCTATCATTTGAACGGTGACCATACAGCAACCGACCGCCCCAACAAACCTGCCCAGACACACCGAACACACAGTAACCACCGACAACAAACAGGAAAATATGAAGCATTTGAACACTTCTGAGCGGTTTGTTATGATGAATGTGACCAATAAGCACAAATCCTAGTAAAACCTAGTAAACGAAGCAAATAGCTAAGTGTAGTCCGCCTATTGATGTATCTTACAAAACTTCATGAAGTCAGCAAAATCTGAAAGTTAGATTGAAAACAGTAGCGGATCGAGAATGGAGCCCTGCGGCACACCAAGAGTTCGCGGTATTACCTTAGATATCTGGTTATCAACTATAACATATTGTGATCAATCACTAAGAAAGTTGACAATCAATTCCACGGATCTAGCTCCGAACCCAAAATATCTCTGTTTTTGTTTGAGTAAAGATGGATCTAGGGTGTCGAAGGCTTTACTATAGTCCAACAAAACTAGACAAGTAACTTCATTTTTGTCAGTACTGATCAGAATATAATCACAGTATATACCCTTACGGTCCCTTCCGTGCGAAAACATAATCTGAAATATGTTTTTTCATTATCGTTTTTAAAATTTCAGAATACTGAAGAGCATTTTTTTTTCTAAAATTTTCAAGGATCTGAGCCGATTCCAAGTCATTTCACTGTTATTTTGACGTATGGCGGATACAACATAAGCATTTTTTTCTCTAAGAATCGCTGCACTAACATAATTCCTGAGTTCATTATAATAGTTCCATAGTGGGCTATGGTCTGACTGTTTCTGAATCTTTTGTAAGCTTCTTCTTTTAAATTCATCATGGTTTTTACCATGTTCGTTAGCCAATGACTCGGCCAATGTATGTTGAAAGTGTTATTAAGTTTTCTGTGAAGAAATTCCACGAGGCATATAACCTCCAGAAATTTAAGAAGAACACCAATTCCTACCTTATTTCCCTTGGTTCCCACGATCTTCTCTGAACATTACAGGATATCCCTTTTCGTGGGAACCAGAACATAAAAAAATACCTATGTGGCTCTAGAAGAATCTCCTATCCGATATTAGTCGAAGTTATTACATGTTGCCTCAAATTCACGTCATTGTTGAGAAAGGAGTGTTGAAATTTCTCGACCTCCACCTCTTTTAGAACTTCGAAATAAAATACCAAAATCAGACAAATTAATGAAATAAACGAAAAACTAACAAAATTGAAATTAGGCAAGTAGCAGTAAAAATATACTCCACTCATAATATACATTAGGACCCCAAAATTCCAATTAAAATTGTAATTTGTCAATTCACCAAAAAATAGGAGATGAAAACTTCAACCTAGAATTGTTTATATTGACAAATATTCGATTGGGACTTTGAGTCAGTGAACACACCCTGCCAACTATGTTTTCATTTCTCTGAAATTGTACAGGCACTTTCCCAATGAATGCCTAGTACACCATTTCTTTGCCGTATGTTGATATAGATCACGTGATTATTTCATTTTCGAATGTCGAGAAATCATTTAATTATCATTTTAACCCTGGCGCCCTGAATAATAGAATACAGTTGAATGCCAAATCTGTTATACATATTATTTCCTCCATTGATGTTAGGGTCATCGGAATATTATTTCAGCCCTTTCTATAATTCCATGTAGCTTAAAGGGAAATGATGCATAATGTGTATTATAAACGTGTTTTTATTGAAGTCTATAGACCGTTTTACGCAGAATGTGGCCCAAGTTAGAACTAATTCCGGATATCAAATTAAATATTCTTTCAACACTGACAAAATCTCATGCACAAGATTTGAAAATTAAATGTCATTCTTACAGTACATGTCAAATTGAAAATTAAAATTGATATATTGATATCCGGTTTTGATTGAGTACGAGATAAAAACCATCGATAGATTATAAATATCAGGTTGCTACTGGACGAAGTGCATGTAAGAATATTCATAATTTTCTCATGCTGATCCAGTAGCGCATTTCCTTATAGAATGAAAGGCTTTGTGGACAAAAATTATCAAAATTGGTGTTGATAGTTTCACAGATAATATAACCATCATATGAGGGAGGAGAAGTAGAGGCTTACATCATGAGAAAATTCAAATAGAGTGTCAGTATCTTTAGACCATAATATCTTATGAGAAATAAACAATGTTTGGTGTTCTTGTGTAATAATGTTTATATCTGAAATACATTGAAATGGAGATGTTGGACAGAGGTTGTTCCATACATCTTCACTGAATTCACATTCTTCCTAGGTACCATTCACACTACACCGGATTCGGAAACATGAAATTGAATATTATTATATATTTATATTCATTCAATTTTCTTTTTGTCCTTTGCAATTAGATTGTCTGAAAACGGGAGAGGTAGTACGTTGTAACAAAGAATAAAGCAAAAGTATAAATACCTGGCGGAGGAGAATCTGGATATTTCCAGGTAAATAATTTGATGGACTAGTCACAGTTTTCAACTGTCTAGGCTCTCCTACACCAGAATGAATACTGCAATTTTCTTTTGTTTCTACGACATTCAAACCCTTGCCCGATTTTCAATAGGTATTTTCTATCCATCCGTGAGTGTTTCTTGGAAACTCATCAAATGAAAAGTTTTTGCATATTTCAGAAGTATCTTCTCATCCGTAGATCATACATTTTTATCCGGGCTTTCCTGCTTTTTCTCTTTCCACATTTCATCAAAAGTTCGAAATTACAGATTTGAATTTGCACATTTTGTGAAATAACAGATTCGTTAATGTTGCCAATAAAGATAAAACAAATTATTATATCCAATTTGTCAAAAGCAACGCTCAGCGTAAAATGGTCTATTCATGAAAGGTCTCAGTATCTTCTGCACTTATCAATTTTCAAATGATTCAGATCGAGTAGCATGTGCTGAGCAAGTCGCATAAGATCTATTTTTGATACCGTTTCAATTGCAGAGATTCATTCAATGGTTTCTTGATATTTTTTCATTTGCCATCAACTAACCACTTAAAATCATACATGAATATGTATCAGATTTTTACGATGTTTTTTTCTATTGTTCCAGGCACAACTGGATACTCGAAGACGTATAGAAACAGAGAATACTGCACCTTTAGTTACGGATACTCAAACAAATGCAGCTAGACCCGTGGTGGACAAGAATTGCAATGCAACTGCGGTGGAACAAATTCAGGGTGAGTACAGATGCAATTACAATGTGATGACAATGTAGGCAGTAAAAAAAAGTTCTGTCTGGAAATATATGTATTATATTTACGTGAAGAAGAAAAACAAAACTTATATGTGGAAAAGGAGATTTTCTCATGCGACCATCATCGTTTTTATTATTTTTTATAAGTTGAAAAATACCTACTTATGTTCCAGTGTCCGGCATTTTTTGTTGAAAATGTTGGAAAATTTTGAGCCAGAAGTAATATTGTAAGCACACAACTCTTTAAGTTTCATTTTTCATCGTATGTTTGGCAATAAACAGCAAATTCAGTAGCTTGGAAAACACTATGAATTGCAAAACCATAGATGTTTTCAATTCCTTCTGAATCGAGACATTTTAAACGAATCAATGACCGAAATACTAGGAAATGATTAAAATCGCATACGAATATTTTGTGTTGTCAAATTCTCCCACAACCACAGTGGTTTGAACATCAGGGCAAAATGCAAATTCCATGTGAAACACCAAAGTCATCAGGATTTTTTTCAGATTCAATTCTCGATAATGATCAAGATGAAAGCGCTCACACAACTAGATTAACTAATAATCAAAAACAATGCCAAACTCTCAAAGTTTTTGAAGAGTAGTGAAAAAATCTGAGACGGAGTGTTAGATAGAATTTTAAAGTGATCATATCTCTGAAATATTCATTGATGGTACTATGTCAACACGAATATGTTTTTTGACAAAAATGAATGTTCTGACATAGATGTGTATAAATTCAAATCGTGTAATAACTTTCAATTGGAAGGAGTTTAGAAATCTCTCGATATCGTCAACTTTGTGAAAATGACAGAGCATAAGAGAATCTTGCTAAATTTCCGAACTTCCAAGCCGAATGTACAGGCATCATTGACAGATTCGTTTGACATCACATTCTAATTTTCACAATTTTTGTGGAAATGGAAATGGTGCGTTATACTTTCGACTTGCAATGTCTGATTCATGAACAACTTGAGTCCGAGAAGATATCGAGAAGGCCGTTTCTGAATATACTGAATCGAATGGGCCATGGTTTTAGTCACAATTTTTGATTTTTTTACTGAAATGAGATTTTGCCCTATTTACTTATCATCCTGTATATTCCACAATAGTGCTCGTTTCGTCTTTCATTGTCCTCCACAGAATAAATTCAAGAAATGCAAGACTTTCGAAAAAAATCGTATTTTTGTTCCATTGGCCAATTGAGGAGAAATCATGAAAATGTCCCGAGATGGGGTCCCAGTGTATCATAATATGACTGACTTTTGATAAAAAAATTTCTCGACATCTGGCAGCATTGGAAATGTAGACCATAGTGTAATGGTTCCACTTCACACCCTGTGTAAGTTTTGTTCTGCGGACTTTTTCAGAGTGTTCTAGCTCTCTTTGAAGCCGATGAAATATCACATCTGATATCGAAAACCACATGAAGATCGGTCAAATTTTTCAAAAAATACAGGTCTTCGAAGTTGAGTCAAATTATGAGTGGTCCATTTAGTGTGTTGAGAACTGTAGTTCATTCGTTCTTCTGAGAGAAAAGCCAATCGGGCGCCGCCACGCTGGGCAGGCTGCGCTTGTCGCTGGCCCAATCGCAGGCGGCCGCCCAATCGCAGGGCGAGAGTCCGGCGGCGACGCCCGAGCAGGAGCGGCCGGCGGCAGTAAAAATTGAGGTAATATGCCTTGCTTTTGAGGATTTGGAGGATTGCGTTTTCAAAAGTTTTCCACTTCTGGGAAATGAAGTACGACTGGCTCCAATCTCGAAGTTCAGAGAAAATCTTTCAATTACACGGATTGAAATGATCATTTTCTGTGGAATGCAGTGAGAAGACTCGAGCAATTATTTATTTATTTATTTATTTCAGTTATTGCATTACATTCTCTTCTCCATTGATACATTTCATACAAATAATATATAAAGTATAATTAATTTTCTAGTAGGAATGACATGAATGATCAGACAGTAATTCCTGGAATAAGATCATTCATTAAGTATTATCGACTGTTGTATAATTGAAATTACAAATAGTGAACAAAACTTACATATCATCAAGATACAGTCATATTATAGTGAACAAGAAGGGGAAAAATAAAAAAACAGTGAAAAAAAAAAATGAAATTCATAGTCTTCCAGCTTTGATCATTCCTTTGCATATTAATATATTTCTTAACTCTATTTTTGAATTGCATAATATTTGGGCTGTTTTTGATATCATCTGGTAATTTATTGAATTTCGAAATCGCCTCATGTGTAAACTTTTTTTGCCCAAGTTTAGAATTTGCAGCTTCAAGATGAAACAAGTTATATTGTCTAGTGTGATGATCATGAATTTCGGAATTCCTGATTAATATAAAATTTGATTTAAGCTTTTTGTTGATGATATAATAGGAAATTTTGAGAGTATTGATTAAAAAGTGCTCTTCCAAAGAAAATGTGTTTGTTTCCTCATACAGTTGATTCGTTGGAGTATCATATGGAAGACGATACAATACTTTCAATGCCTTCTTATATAGAACAGAAATTTTGTTGAAACTGAACCCAGAAACTACCACAATGACCACTAAACTCTCGATAAAATACATGAAAACCTGAATGTGAACAAACATTCAATGTACCTTCTATTAGTTACTTGAATATCCGAAAGAGGGCGTGTCGCTTATTTTGAATCGCCTATAGTAATATATTTTCTCATGCCAAAGTTCAAATTCAAATTTGAAATTTCGAACTTCTGATAGAATCTGTGAAATTGACACAGGAAAACCAGAAATAACCTGATGCAAACAAATGTGTGATCAACGGATGTGAAAATTCTTCTACTAAAGATGAAAAACTTACCATTTAGGAAACAAAAGAAGAGGACGGATAGAAAGTAATGGGGAGTCGGCCAAGGATAGAAAGTATTGGGGTTTCAAGCAAGGGTCAAATATAATGGTTCTTCACTCTTGAGTACAATCCATATTATTTGACACACAGCGTATAGGACTGAAAGAATTCAATATCTGACGATTGTATTTCAGATTTTCGAACATGCAGAACTTTTTATAAAGAATTTTTTTTTACAAAAATAAAAGAGTAATTTTCCATATGATTCCAACTTAGGGAGACATACTGTACATGGTGATTTTTTATAGTTTTCTCAATAGCTATTTCAGTTGATATTGGTCTGAACAAAGCTCTGAATGGTCCAGAACCCTTCTGTGGTATTGCGAAAGTTATACAAAAGACTAGTGTCAAATAATGGATGCAAACCAAATCTCAAGAATGGTGAAACAACTCGCCAGGAATGAGACAGGCAAAAGAGTTTATTAAAAAACCATCGCCAACATTCACAGAATATCTACTGAGCCAGAAACGAAGTTCAACTAGAACACTAGTGGGACTTCTCACAGGGCATTGTAGGCTCAACGAACACAAGATAATAATAGGTCTGACTGAAGAACTGCTGTGCAGGATCCGTCAGGAAGAAGAGGAAACAGCAGTACACATACTTTGTCACTGTGAGGGCATGTCAAGACTAAGGTTCCTTACGCTGGGTGAGGAAAACCCAGAAGCCCAAAGATACACAGGGGATCTGAAAGCCAGCCTATGGAGTCTCATAGAGAAGGCGGGACTAGCCAAAGAACTCTAATCGATTTTCGAGGGCAGACACAATAGATAAATCTAAAAATCTAATATAGGTCTTACAGAAACGCTCAAATGGGCAAAAATGAATTATTTTTCATGGGCATTCAGAATCTATGACTAGATAATGCAAAAACGCATCGTAAACCTACATAAACTGGTATTTTTCAAAAACTACCACAATGACCACTAAACATGAATTATATGAAAACCTGAATGTAAACAAACATTCAATGTACTTTCTATCAGTTCCGAAAGAGGGCCTGTAGCTTATTTTTAATCGCCTATAGTAATAGACCATTTCACGCTGAGCGTTGCTCTTGGCATATTGGATATCATTATTTGGTTTGTATTGGCATGATTTACAATGTTCTCATGCCAAAGTTCAAACAAAAATTTGATATTTCAAACTTCTGTTGGAATCTGTGAAATTGACAAAGGAAAAACCGAAATATCTGGATACGAATGTGTGATCAACGGATGTGGAAATACTACTAAACATAAAAAACACCATTCAAGAAACAAAAGGAGAGGGAGGATAAAAGGAAATGGGGGGTCGGCCAAGGATAAACGGTACTGGGGTTTCGAGCAAGGGTTTTGAATAAAAATCAAACACAAAAACGGGACTAGGAAACCCTATAGGCGGTTGAAAGCCTGGAAAAATTGATTTCGCGCAGGCAAAATCGTTTCGGCCCATCAGTCTTACATCGTTCTTAATAAAGACGTTAAAAAAACTGCTAGATTCATAGACATTGAGGGAGCATTTGAAAATACATCATTTGACTCTATATGTCGTGCAGCGGAGGAGAGGGGTGTTAGTCCAATTTTGATAAAGTGGATACACGCACTCCTCTCTAGAAGGATAGTGAGAGCCACTCTTCTAAACAGTCTCGAGGAGGCCGTTGTATCAAGAGGCTGCCCGCGGGGAGGGGTGCTATCACCCCTTCTATGATGCTCCGTCGTGGACGACCTCCTATCGGAGATACATAGCATGGATACTATATCCAGGCCTACGCAGATGACATAGTCATCCTGATCGAAAGTAGGGGGTTCACTCCCAGTCGGAGACAGGCACAACGGGCCCTGGACGGGGTGGACCGCTGGTGTCGTAGCACGGGACTAAGACCTAATCCAGAAAAGGCGGAAATAGTACTTTTCACCAGAAAACGCAAGGCAGGGGATCTCCCCGATATACGACTAGGAGGTATTCTTGACTCTAGGCTCAATTGGAACGAGAATATTGAGAGGAAGGTCCAGAAGGCTACATTATTTGACACGCAGTGTATGCGACTGAAACAATTTTATATCTGACGATTGTATTTTAGATTTTAGAACATGCAGAACTCTTTATGAAGAATATTTTTTCCTAAAATAAAAAAGTAACTCCATATGATTCCAACTTAGTGATTGATACTGTACATGTTGATTTTTTATCGTTATTTGAATGGCTATTTCAGTTAATATTGGTCTTTTAGAAACGCTCAAATGGGCAAAAATGAAGTATTTTTCATGGGCATTCAGAATATTATATTATCTTTATTATTATTCCCAAGAAACATACATGTTTATAGCAGGGAAAATTATGACTAGAAAATGCAAAAACGCATCCTAAACCTAAAGATTCTACATAAACTGGTATTTCTTGAATGGAACCCACTGGATTTTATTCTCCTAATCGATATCAATCAATGTTTCCGAATCTGGTGAGGATGGTTCCTCGCAAAAATCAGAAAACCTTGAATTGTTCATGCCTTATATACGGTCGACAACTAACGACTGACGTCATTCCGTTCCAGGCCGCAAACGGCGCGCCACCTCCCACCTCGACCAGCCACCCGCCGACCGCCTCGACAACGTCGACCACCACGGCTCCTCCGCCAAGTCGACCTCGGACGCGGCCAACGCGAAAGCGGCCGCCGCTGCCGCCCCGCTGCGCAAGAGCCAATCGGGCGCCGCCACGCTGGGCAGGCTGCGCGTGTCGGTGGCGGCCCAATCGCAGGCGGCCGCCCAGTCGCAGGGCGAGAGTCCGGCGGCGACACCCGAGCAGGAGCGGCCGGCACGTCGGCGACAGGCGGGCGCGAGGAGTTTGAGGTCGGGCGGCGCGAGGGACCAGAGCCTCACGCAGTTCGCCGTGATGGATGACGAGAACGTGAGTCAGCAGGTGAGCGCTAGGGTTTACTTGTTGATTATTATTTTTTTCTACAAACGTCAACAGATGATAAGGTTCGTTAATTGGTAACAATTTGCGAAGCGACACTTTTAGTCAGTTTCCTACGTTACCACAACACCATGTGCGAAGCAGTGCGCAAAGTACCGTTACCCCCGATAATAACAAAGCCTGCAGGCTCCGTGGTGACGTCACCTTAGTGAGGCCTAACAGCGGCTTCAAACGACAAGCGCTTAAAGCGCTATGAGGCGACCGCGTATTTAAATTTCAGTTTTAAATCATCATTGAGCCGATTTTGCTGTTTTTTTGAAGGGCTTCCGGTTAAAAGAGGATGCCAGTCGTCAACTGAGCCCTTCTTTGCATCCCATTCGATTTCATTATGGAAAAACGAAGTTTCAAAGCAAGAACCAGAATAATACACAAATACCCACCTACAGCAACCCATACGAATTAAATATATTGGCAAAAATAGTAGTGATTAAATCTCATTGAAGGTAAACTTCACACCTTATATACAGGGCCCGCAGAACATGAACTTATCGTGACATTGATCCAAAGAAAATTGGGGACAATGTATTTTATTTTGATAGACATGCCGTTTGTTATACTAACTACCTATATTTATCTTGGAGAATTCTTATTACCTAAAAAATTAGCCAGTGAGTGTTTTCAATTTGCTGTTGTTGGATTTTTTCCCCAATTGATCGTCAGACTTGAAACACTAATTTTTAAGTAGAGTGTTTGTAGTACATGTTATAATATGATAGTTGCAATTTGATCATTGGAATGAATTCTGCCTTCATTGCCACGAGGCAAATTACCGTTTTCAGAAAGAAATTTGAGAATGTATTTAGTTGAAAATGCCCGTTCATTATGAACATTTTAGAATATTTCCTAACTAACTGCACAATCAAAGCTTGTGGATAGAATAATTTTCCTCTACTCATACTTTTTATGAGAGAGTAATTGTCTTCTTTTATTGATTCATCTTTATAAATTCTGTTTACAAAATTCTCATTGAATTTTTCTAAGTGTAATATAACAACAATAACCTGCTAAATAGGTTATTACCGGCATATCATCACTATATTTATCAATATCAGATTCCTCGAGTATGATATCTGAAATGATGAAATGATTTTTTTGTATCTCTTCAGTGAAATCAATATTTTTGTAAAAGCGCCTGATTTGTATATTACCGTAAGTTCGAGTTATGTGATATTGTCCACCTGAAAGTTAACGATATTTCCCGTACCTATGTTCCAAATCTTTTTTTTGAAATTTTCCTAGTAAAACATAATTCATCTTGAGTTCGTTAAAACAATATTGTATAACTTGTCATTTCATATATAGTGTGAATCAAAGCAGTATGTGTTTGGTTTGTTAGTTTATTAGTAGACTTTGCAGATTTCCAAGTTTCTAACCAATCTATCATTTTATGGAAATCGATAATATTGAACCACTTTTCGGGCAACTGAAAGAACTCTAATACAACTAGAAATTCTTGAAATTCTTTGTAGCAAAATGATATTTGGTAATTTTCGAATTCAGTTTTGCTTTTGGTAAGTGCTTTTGCCAAATGTTTAATCGCTAGTATCTCAAGTTTTTTCGATAAATAAATAAATAATAAATAAATAAGATGGACAGTTAGGAAATCGAGTAGGAATAACATCTCGATTGAGCCAAGAGATTTTCAAATCTATTGTTACAGTTTTGCCAGTTTTGGAATCGGTTGCATCTTTAGTAAAATTCAATTCACATACTCTACTGTACTGAGATGGAGTAAAATCCTCGCGGTGAATTGCATATACCCACTCTTTCGATAGTTCCTTATCCAACGGGAAACTGAAAGCATGAACTTTTGGACCACCCACATAATTCCCCCGAAAAAAGGGAACACAACACTTGAAAGGCATTGTTATTTCGCCTATCACAACACAAAATATTTCACAAAACAGTAATTTTTCCGCCAATTATTTTGATGAATAAACAACAAAAGAATTCGGGCACGCGACAGCTTCTCGAACATCTATTGTTTCGACGGTAACGAACGTGTGCGTTGTGTGGCCTCAGCTGACGTCACGAGCTGTTCACTACGAGCCCTCAGGCCTTGTTAGTATCGGGGGTAACGAAAGTACAGACTTATCGCATTGTATGTATACTATATGAGATTTTTATATTTAAAATTTATGGTCCTCAAATCGAGCAAAGCAACACTCTACCAAAACTCTTTCGTCTATAGAACGGCGAAGCGTTGGAATTCTTTGCCAATGGAAGTGATCCCAAAAACTTATAAACTCAAAAAAATCCAACACTTACCACCTCTCACTATCCTCCCTAGGTACGCGCGATGTTCCACGAACAGTATAGGAAATTCCTTTCGTGCGCTACAAGAGATAAAAAAACATCCAAGAAATCATTTATTCCTGAATGTTAAACAATATTTTTTATTATCTCTTGGAGCGCACGAAAGGAAATTTATATAATGTTCGTGGAACAACGTGCGTACCTTCAGAGGATAGGGAGAGTCGTTTTAAGCCAGTTCAACGTATTTATTGACGTTTGTAGAGAAAAATGTTTTGCAACTTGTGCGTGAAATACGAAAGTAGCATTTTGCGCACAAGATACAAACCACTATTATTCTGACTTCCAGTCAGCAACAATATTCATCAACAGTAAAAACACATTTTTTTTATCGGATAATTTTCTCTTCTTAACGAAAAAAATTGTTAATCATTAATTTCATGAGAAAAACTGACATGAAAAAATTGCGAGACCGTAGGTTCAGCAGTTTTGTCTAATATCAGTTTGAGGTCGAGCAATTTTGTCTACTGTCTACTGACAGTCGCATACTAGAGTTGAGGAACAGGCATTTTTACAGTGATAAAAAAGGTGCATCATTTTTTATCGATGTCAAAATGACTCGCCATCTTCAAATAACGTTTTCTATGGAGGAGTTGATTTTATCGACAGTAATTACGTGATGGTAATTTTTTGATAATTTCAACTAGATGCACGAATTTTTGTTGCTATAGAAAACTCACTAGTCGTCCACGAGTGGAATTTCTCAATGGATTTGCAGTTTTCGATGCTTTTCCGTGATATCTCAGATATCTTCAAAGATGGAACCTTGCGGTTTTCACGGTCCTGTGCCACTTTTTTGTGAAACTCAAGATGGCCTAAACAGATTTTGCTTAAGTGTTTCCGTTTATGAGATACAGGGCGATTTTGAAAATTTATACTTTTCGAATCCCCTCTCTATCTACGAACTTTCTCAGCGAAAATGTCAAATAAAAATCTTATCTCATAGAGAATTTTACGCAAAATCCTATAGCACACTCGATTTTTTTTTTCCTTTTTTGGTATGGTTCCGGAGATACGACTCAAACTTATGATATTTTTATTTATAATTTATATGATCATCAAATTCTTTATTATTTCCCTTCAAAATGTGTAAATATGAAATTGTCAAGAATCACTGAAACATTGAATTTTAATAGTGGGCTATGGATTTTTCATATAAAAAAGTCCAATTGAATAGTTTTTCCATAAATAGGACAAAAACAATACCAACACTAATTAATAATAATAATAAGTTTATTCAAAAACGTTTAAAAAATATACATTGAAACATACAGATAGCTATTTTGAATAAACTGGTAAAAGCTTACGAAGTGAACCTTGTAGTAAGGATAAAAAAAAACAAATGAACATAGGTCAATGAATATTTAACAATATTGAATTATCACAAGGGAAAAATTGTCTCTTTAGGAAATGAGACATCATGTATATAATTCATATATAGTGTATTCAATTCGCATAATTATTTATATTTATACAGGGTGTTGCGAAATTCGACCGACAACGCTTGACAGGTGATGGCCCTCGTGATTTCATAATCACTGAGATAGGGACATACGGTCTCCAATTGTTCGAAAAATTTAAATAGGTTTTTCGCAATATGTCAAGAAAAATTGAATATAATGCATTCAAATTCGGTATATGGTTTCATCTTTCAATGGTTGATTTTTTGACAAGACATTCCAAGAATTTCACCCAGAGGTGCGCTACAGTGGGTTGTGATAACTTTTCCTCCCATATTTCCTACGCCGCTGATGAAATTTCGGTTATTTCCAATTTCTCGAATTGATTGTTCAATTATGTTGAAAAACTGCATCATCTTTTACTGAGCTAAAATTAACAGTTATCGAGATATTTGACCCAAAATAGAAGTTTGCATAGTAATTTTTCATCTTCTTTAGTAGTAGAAGATTACAAACATTTTGTTTTCTCTTTATGCTTGGAATAACTATTTCTGTTCAGCTACAGAATGAGATCTGAATTGTTTCTAATCTACTCATTAGCAGAAAAATATTTGTGCAATTTTCTATTACTGAAAATGATTAAATATTACTATGCGATCGAATATCTCGAAACCTGTTATTTTCAGCTCAGTTGAAAGTGATGCATTTCTTGAACAAAATTGAACAATGAATTCGTGGAATTGGGAATAATTGAAATTTAATCAGTGGCGTAGAAAATATGGGAGGAAAAGTTGCCACAACCCCCCGTGAGGCACCACTGGATAAAATGTCCGGAATGGCTTCCTGGTCGAAAAATAACCCATTCAAAGATGAAACCATACACCGAAGTTGAATGCAGTATATTAAATTCTTCTTGAAATATTGCAAAGCAACTATTTTTATTTCTTAACTTTAACGCCCTGTATCTCGAGAACTGAACACTTGTAGACCGTATGTCCCTATCTCAGTGACTATGAAATCTCGAGATCTATTACCTGTCAAGCATTGTCGGTCGAATTTTGCAACACCCTGTATATACTTATTCACAATTATCATTTAGACGTTTCTAATTATATTATTAACTAACAAAACACAAAACTTAGGTACCTGATAGTAACAAATGGATAGTAATAAAAGTTCATAATGTAGAATAAGCACATGAATAAATATTTACCTAAACAATTTAATTTCGAAATTATACAGTAAATTACCCATAGAATTGTTCAAATTGATGACCATTGTTTATATTTTACTTGATGGCTATTTGAGTTGATATTGGGCTTAGAAAAACGTTTAAATTAACAAAAATTGAGTATTTTCAAGGAAGTGCGGAAATTGAACAAACGTCTTTCAGGTGATAATAATCAAATTAGCTAATTTGATTATTATTTAATCTAGTTGGTTCAAGAAGTAGTTCTCAAACGCAAAGAACAATGTTTGTTCATTTTGCCAAAGACACAAAGGCTGTGCCAGTGTCGGCATCTGCGGAGTTCTACAATTTCGAGCGACTTTTGTCTTTTGTGCTATGCACTTTAGACTTTTTTTTGCTCAAAACTATTCTGTCTTCCAGGTGACTCGAGGAGGTGCCTTGACGCTGGCCAGCCAGTGGAAGTCGCAATTCGATGACAGCGAGGAAACGACCGACAACGAGTGGAAGCCGGAAAGCCCCGAGCACAGGGGCGGCGCGGCGGCCGGCCAATCGGAGGCGGCGGCGGCGAACGCGCTGCTGCCCATCCTGAGCAGGATCAGCGAGGACTCGCGGACCAGCCACAGGAAGTACATCAATATTGCGGGGATCGAGGATTATCCCGAGCTAGTCGGTAAGAATTTATGATTGTGATGAATGTTATGTATGTTTTACACTGTTGGTAATTAAAGAAGAGAAAACAAGGTAACTGGTGTATTTCATGTTGATGAACGTCAAATTCATCACAGACATTTACAGACACTAATATTTTTTTTAGATAGAACAATGGGCGAGTGGACTTATAATAAATTATTGGCATTTTATTACTACACTGTGTCGTTAGGGACCTAAATTATTTTTTGCAACACTTCTCACACTTTTTTTATGTAAATAATGAGTGTATACCACAGAACTCAAAGACCTAGAAGGCCAATATCGTTCTATTCGAGTGTTCCCTAACGTGGCTCGCACGGCAAATGTGAGCATGCGCAGTAAAGTCCCGACCATGCCAGGGGCGGATTCAGAATTATTTGATTACAAGGTTTTTGTGGCTTTCTTCAAAGAGCAGAACATTGTGAAACATTCATATGATATTTGTTATGATAAATTCCTTCATGTTATTAGGAGTAATGGTTCGATGTATTTTCCATCAACTAAAGTGTTCATTGGATTGAAAAGAGCGAGCTAATATACAGGGGGGTTCAGTCTATATTAGCAATAATTCACCATGGTTCTTCGAAATATAAAACGGCATGAATATTATATATTTTTGTCAAAAAGCTCTTCCAGGGAAATACATCCCTCTGTTTTGAAAATCTTTTTCTTGCTATAATTCTCATGACATAAAACAAAATACTAAGTTTTGTCAAAATTGTCCAGTGTAGTGGATTCAGGGGAGTTGTTTCCCTTTTGCCGAACTATTTATCAAACCACTGAAAATTTTTCAGAATTCAGATATTTCCCAAATTCCCTGTTCAATTCAGAAAGAAAGACACAGGAACCCATAGGTCATTCTTGGCTCTTTCGAGCAACCAGCATGTCCAAATATTTGGCAACATTGTGCTGCTGAGAAGGGACAAGACCACGCCCACAAGTCCTCTAGTTTAAATTAATATAATTATTATTCACACAAATGAATTTTAAGCAATGAGCCACAAATCATAAGGGAAGAGACAATTGATTTTGTATTGCTAAATATCAATATTACCAATACATACTTTATTAATTTTTGAATAACTAATATTTCTGAAGTTCCCAATTGTATTTCAACACATGGCAACCGTGCTATGATCTTCCCCTACTTACGAAATCATGACATCAGTTTTTACTCGCGGTAAATTTCTATCCGTTTGAAAATTACCGTGGCGTTATTGATGATTTTGGCACCTCAAAATCGACCAAAAAATGTGATATCGAAAGGTATTTGAGTGATGATTTTATTTGAGAAATAAAAGTAGTCCACTCGCCTATTGTATGTGAACTAATCTGAGCGTTCTCTACTATGGATGAGATCTTATTCAACTAATTGAATCAATCAATTTTTGGACGTGGTCACATACGCATGAATATGCGCCGTTAAATTTGAATTATCATTAGAAAGAAACTGCAACCTTGCTATTTTCACTATGTTGAGTTAACGTGAACTACAAGAAGTTAGAATTATCAATACATGATTTACCATGTTCAGTCTAGAATAGAAAAGAACGCACTCGATCAGGGCCTACTCTATCTCACCGGCCGTAGTCTATCCCATCTACCTCGATGCTGACGTCACATTAGTAGGTTCAGATTTCACATCATTTCATATCGGTGCGTTCGTAATTGAAAGGTTATAGCTCAATTACTTTACAAATTAGAAGCACACTCAATCCAGACGAATTGATCCCTGATGAACTACTCAACTTTCGTTGAAAAAATAAATTTATTAGGATGAACCAGTACCGATTTATGGTGTTGTGAAGAAATTCAATTTTAATGAAAATCAGGACGTACTACGGAATACTATTTTTTGCCGGTTTAAAATGAAACTGACTGAATATGTCAAACTAGCTGAGCTACCTACAATGAGTGAGAAATTCTAGCAGCTGTTTAAAGAACGACAATTCTGAATGTAGTTAATTCATTTTAATATGCTATATTTCTTGAACTATTAATCGTAAATCAGTGAATATTGATTCATCTCTTGAAAAAGTCAAGTCTGTGCATACTTGATCTCTTGACATTTTTTGATAACTGTTCCCACCCGTGGTACATCAATCAATTAGGAAACGCAATTTCCAGCGCCTCGATTTCGTCCCTACTAGGGTGACGTCACGAAAGCGATGCTTCGGCCCGGTGAGATAGAGTAGGCCCTGACTCAATACTTCAAAGAATATCAAGGGGGGCGGAACGGGGCCGGTAGATAGGAACAGAAAAAGATGAGTCGAGAAGTTATTAACGAGAGGACACACACCGGCCTCGGATTGCTTGTTCTTTTCTCAATTCGGTTTTGAATACACTTTCTATAAAAGTAACTTGTACGCTTGTAGTAATTGGTGTTGGTATCTTGTTTATTAGTTGTCATGAGAATCTACTGGTCATTTATATTCTGTTTGCTTCACCAGAGGTGGTTCAATCAATGTAATTTGAATACGTCTCTATCAATGGGAATCCGATATGTTCATTTTACTTGGTTCTTTGGGATTTTCTCTCCTCGTTTCTATAAAATAAAAGTATTCGTATTATTTCAATATATTTGTAGATATGCATTTTTGTTAAAACACGTGGTGTGCCAAAGTTAACCTGGTCGGAGTCTAGCTCTTGATGTGTGGTATTGATTTTTTCTGGTTACTTAGAAAAAAAGAGTTAGTGGGTGAAGAATAATCATTCGACCCCCGATAACGGCAAATTTGTATTTCACAAGTTCTGACTTCTCGAATATGAAGATTCATGTTCCCTTATTACCCTGTGAAAAAATTCTAATCGATGCACCAGTACTCAAATCTTAGTTGTTTGTCAAATCAAAGCATGTCGGGAGACAACACAACCTCGAACTAAAATGTACAACCTTTTTCCCTTCTGTAATAAATAACTATTATCGAAACACAGGAATTAAAATCGGTTCAGAAAAGTTAAAAAGCTCGGAAAATCGGTTCATATGCACAGAAGCTACAATTGTTCAGAATCAAGGGTTTGTGAAGCCTTGAGAAAATTCCCCAAATCAAAATTTCATGGAAAAAATTCGTAGTCCATTGCAAATATATAAAAATAGTTGAAAATATATGATTTTCGGTAAACAGAATTTAGTAACGTTTGCTAGGCTTCAATATAAGTACGTACCTAGAGTTAATGTCGAAGTGTCGAAATAGTCCATTTAGATGATGTTCATGATCAATACAACGCAATACAACAATAATTTGAATTACAATCCTGTTTTATTATTGATATTATTTCTGTTCTTATTTGAAAATCTAACTTTCGGTCAGAAACGAGTTATGGTATTAGGAAATAGTCATTATCAATTCAGCTTTTTTGTGTTTAATTTTTTTCAATGGAATATTGGAACCACAAATCTAATGTTACCTATCAAGCGTTACTCTTTGTAATAAGATATTTATCCACTTCTAGGTATGCTGGAAATGGCATACTCTGTTAACATTTTTCTAGTTGAATTTTTGTACTTATCACATAAAGGTAAAGTAAGGAACGAAATAGTATTTTTTTCAAACTTGATTAGTTTTTTCATGAAACCCGAAATGAGTCGAGGTTCCTTTTTTTTCACATAATCAGTAAACCTAAAAATACACTTCCGGAGACACTTATATATTCAAGTATAAGGCCCTATCATTTTTTCAAACTTTATTTTGGAGCATGAAAGTGGGCGTAGAATACTAGTATTCACTGCAGTAGTGTATGATATATACTCCTCTCATGAATTTAATAACTCTTTTTTTTTTCTTTTTAGACATTGTTGCCACGCTCCCTGAAACTAATTTACTATCTAATGAGAATGCTTGCTTATTGCTGTGATTGCTGTGATATAATTAGAATAACTTAGTATGATCATAAATCTGATTGATGCTGTATCTTTCTCTTTTATTTTAACTTTCTGACTCCTACTAACTGCCCTGCTTCCGTCTAAAAAGGGAACAAAAAAGGTTCAAGGACTTCAGTCAGTCCATCCTGTTTCAAAATCTTCCTCAATATATCTTTTCTCTTAGTATTTTACTCTTCGAAAATGTCAACATCTCAGTTTTGTCAGTGATATTTCTTCCATGCAAATTTCGAGACGAGCTGAACTTAAAATTCATCTTCTCAATTTTTCAACAGATTCACCAGACGAAACCTCCAGAATATTGTAACTATTGAATCCGTTTTTCAATTTCCTTCAGTTTAAACGGGCTACAATTTTTTCGCTTCAAACCTGAAATAATTTTCGCAATAGGTCCTTAAAATATGCTTTCTAGTTGAATGATAAGTTGAAATTAGTAAACCATCTATTAGTACTTGTACTGTGATCGTATTCTTCGCTGACTAGCCCTGGAACTATACCAATTGCGAGATTTTCGGACGAATCTTGAACGAAAAGTCGAATTTACTCGAACGTGACTGGCCCACAGAACTCATAACCTTCATATCTTGCGACTAGAATGTATATACACTCATCGGCAAAAAAAACGGCCACCAAAAAATTTGCCCAAATTGTTCATCTTATAACTTTTTTAATCTTTGTCCGATTTTTGTGAAATTTGGATCAAACCGTAGATTCATGTTCTGGAATGTTGGCCTATATATTAGTTATCGTGAAAAGCTGATGGTTTGATCATTATACAGGGAAAAAACAAGGTAACTATTTCATCCTTTTATTCTTAACGCCCTGTGGCGAAATGGAGTGATTGAACTTGGCTTCATTATGCTTTGGATTAGAATGTGATCCCTTCGTAACACAATAGTATTTTTCTACAAACGTCAAAAAATGACAAGGTTCGCGCATTGATAACAAATTGCGAAGTGACACATTTTTTCAGTTTCCTACGTTACCATGATACCTTGCACAAAACAATGCGCGAAGTACCTACTTCGCGCATTGTTATGTAAAATATATGAGATATTTATATTTCAACTTTATGGTCCTCAATCGAGCAAACATTCACG